TAACAATTAATTACTGGATTACTCTCTGAATTTTTGTTTTAAATTGAAATGTAACATTATTGTAACATTATTTGATGTTGTGTCAGTATCACAATCTTTTTTTTTTCTTTTGGTTTCAGAATGTTGGGATTGGAAAATTCCGTCCAAACTTATTAATTCTTGGTTTTAAGTCTAATTGGCAAGTTGACAATCCAGAAAATGTCCAGCAGTATTTGGAAGTGATTCAGTAAGCTTACCTGGCCATTTAATTAAACACTGTACTTGTATAATAGACAACTCTTAGTCATGCTATTTAAACATGGCTAATGAGCAATTTAATAAAGTTTGTTTTGTCTGTAAGATAAATAGCACACCTTTGAATATGAGCAGACTGAGTCTCTAAACTGAACAAGTGAACTCATTTCAATTCCCATACACAGAAAATGAGTTGTGAAATACTTTTGTTTTTTGTTTCTGTCAGTGATGCCTTTGATCTGAGACTTGGTGTAGGAATTCTTCGAGTCAAGGAAGGTTTTGGTCTTGACATAGAAACAAATTTGTCCATGTTTCATCAAGATCCTGAAGAAGGTATGTATTCACTGTAACCTCATTTATATTGAGAAGACTTCATAGTTGAAAGTTCTGTTGTTGTTTTGTGTACAAATATTCTGGAGCATATTAAAGCTTTTGTTCCTTCTAGATCAAAGTGATGATGAAACTCCCCAAGGATCCCCCTCAGAGGTCGCTGGCAACCAGGATGAATCTACCGCAGCTAAGCAACAGAGCAATGGCCAGTCTGTGGAAGTTGAAGAGAGCAGCAGAACCCATGATCATGAAGATGAACTAGGTCGAGGGGACGGTCCAGATCCATTGATCAATCCTCTCTTATTGGCGAAGTTAAACACACAGGTATCTGGCTTCTTTTAGCCAAGTTTTAGCTGCTACGTTTTGAAGTTCCTAACATTTTTTAGAAAATACTTCCAGATCATTTGTAAAAAAAACAACAACAACAAAAAAAAAATTTTGATTATCCTAAAGTAGCAATAACCAATCAAAGAAGTTTTATTTGGACACCTTGTTTATGGATATAGGTCATAACATTCAAATGTAAAGTACAAGCAAAAATGGGTTTATTTCATCAGGCGTGATGAAGCAAAACGTGGAACACCGCCCTCCACCCATTTAACATGACATAGAAATAGAGGCTTATAAATAAAAATTATTTAATAATGATGTAATACAAATAACCTTAGAATGTATTATCTAACTACAATATCTACAATAAAATATTCCCCCTCCCCCCCATCATGTCCCCCCTATCGAGGCTAGGAATCAATTTCTTCTAACATCACATTGTCTTTGAATCACTTTCTCTGCAGGTTTTAAAAACTATGAACATATTTCGTAATAAAGAGAAAGGAACTATTGATGTCTGGTGGCTCTTTGATGACGGAGGTAAAAATTCTAACTGCTAGAAGTTGTGGTTGTAAGTTGCTAGATGGGGACTTTAAAAAATGTCGGGTTGACCTCTAGGCTTAAAGTTTCATTTTAAATGGAACTCACTTTCTACTTGACTCGTTTCAACCTTGACCTTCCCTTTGTTATTCTTCATTGAATTTTTTTTTTTCTTGGGCACTAATGAACTTTTAGGGTGGTGGCTCAGTAGTAAAGCACTTGGCTTCCAAACTAAGGGGTCTGAAATTATGAGCTACAGGATTTTTAGGACGCTGAGTCCCCAAACTCTAATGGGTCCCTGACATTGATTGAGGAACATACAGGCGTCTGGTTATTGTGCTGGCCACATGACACCTAAATAAACCCTGGACCCTAGAACTTGATGACCTTTATATCATCTGCCCTATAGGCGGTACTTTCTGAAAGGGGAACTTACTTTACTAAATAAACAATTTCAGTTGTATAAAAGTCCTTGGTCTCTTGATACTAGTTACTTTACAATAGAGCCTAGAGACACACAGAAAGTGATTGTAGTAGAAATTAGGAACATAGTGGTATAGGTAATGGGTTTTTCTAGGGGTTTGTTTTTTGGTTTCTTAAAAGTTCTTAGAGTTCACTGTTTAAGACTGTCATAGTTGATAACATTTTTGTGTTGAGCCACTTTTTTGGATGTTACTGCAATACCCATAGGTCACAAGATCTAATTTTGAATACAAAGTAAAGTTGTAGCTGTAACTTTAACTTAACAATGCAGAACATTGACAAAAGTTTGAGAAGAATGTATTAGTTGTCTCAGACCTCAATGACTTAATAGATTGCACTCTCTGGCAGGTCTGACTTTGTTATTACCCTACATTCTAACCACTAAACCTTACTGGAGAAACTGTCGACTTCGTGTATTTGCAGCTGGCACCAGACGAGGGGACTTGGGATATGAACAGAGACAGTGAGTAGCTGTTTAAATTAAATCTCATCTGGTCTAACTGCATTATTTCTCAGCCTTTGAGGTATTTGTAAATAAAGTAAAAAAAAAACTATAAAATATAACTATTCTTTATATTTATAAAAATCTAAAAATATTTTATCAGACTCTTTAGTTAATCACTTTTATTTTGTATGTATCCTACAGATTGGCGACATTGCTGGCCAAGTTTAGAATAGACTGTAAGGATATGACTGTGTTACCTGAAATCAACAAGAAGCCAAGTGAAGAAAGGTGAGAGCAGTTACCTACTTTCTAACCATCACAGCCAAGCAACTGTAGTCTTACACAGATGTAGGCTTACACAGATGTAGTTTTACCACGCTGTAGTTTTACCTGTATAGTTTTACCACAAGTGCGGTCATATGTGGATGTAGTTTTACAGAGTTGTGGTCTTACACAAGTGTATTTATACATATCTGTAGTCAACTCACATCTGTAGTCAACTCACATCTGTAGTCAGCATGCAACACTTTAAGGATTTATTTCTTTTTCTTCTAATCATTCTTGCTGTTCTTTTGTCTTCCTGATATTTTTAATCTTTTGGGACTTGAATTGAACCACACAATTCAATGTAAACAACTAGAATTACTAGCAGATCAGTTAAAAGTTTAATGTCTAGAAATGTTTCTGTAACTAAGAAGTCGGTCTACATCACAACAGAATCAACTAAGTAGCTGAAGCCCCCCCCCCCCCCTCCAAAAAAAATGGAATGGAAAAAATCTGTCCAGTTTTAGTTAGGTCAGTTTAGTGGTTGGGATGGCAACTTGAAATCTGTCTGACATGAACTTTGATTTCCCCAGTGTAAGGCTGTTTAATTCTTACCTGGCCAACTGGAAACTAGACCCACACAAAGGTGAAACCAAGACTAAATTCCCCTGGAAAACAACAGACGATGAGTTGGAGTTATTGAAAGAGAAAGTGAGTAGATGAAAGCTAAATAATTGTTTTCAATGCCACAATGGAATATCAAATCTAAATATATAATAATGGCAATGTTTTTGATTTCAAAGATTAAGTATGCAGTGTTTCACTTGGCTACACAAGCCCATTTGTGACCTTTTTTTTTTTTTACGTCTAATGTACCAAATGTCAATATATGCTCAAATGTATGTTCCATATGTCTACATAAATGAGCTGTCACATAATTTTATATTCTCGTATTTTCTGTTTCATTATTTAGACTCAAAGACAAATCCGCCTGAGAGAACTTCTGTTGGAAAGATCAAAAGATGCAGCTCTGATAGTCATGTGAGTCCTCCAACTTGTTCCCTTGATTCTAGTTCTCAATTAGAACTGATAGTCTAGTAGAACTGATAGTCTAGTTTAATTAGTTTTGAACTGATAGTCTAGTTCAGTTAGTTTTGAACTGATAGTCTAGTTCAATTAGTTTTGAACTGAGCCTATTTACTTAATGGTCTAACAGGACCCTGCCTATGCCTCGTAAGAGCACCTGTCCTGCAGGACTCTACATGTGCTGGATTGACACCTTGACAAGAGACATGCCACCTATACTTCTTGTCCGAGGCAACCAAGAGAGCGTCCTGACATTCTACTCCTAAATACAGGGCATCATTCTTCTGTCACCTGTTAACATCTTAAGTAAGCTGCACATGTAGACAGATGTCAAGAACAGAGACAGGTTTGTGTTGTAGAAATTAGTAGACGGTCAAGGTCTCTAGTCAATACTCCTGTTGTCTTGTTATGTCTTGCTATCTATGTATTTATTTCTAAAGTCCAAAGTGATCCTGAATTCCATGAGGGACCACTCTTGCTTGTATTCACTCTGTCCACTCTGCAAACTTTCATGTTCCTCTTTTTATATGTAGAAGTTAATCCATACCAGAGTCTATCGTCTTGAATAACACACAGTCCACAGTAGTTACAGCTAAGAAAAATGTCAAGGTTTAGCTTGATCCTTCTTTGTCAAAACGCTTGATAAACTAGTATCATCATATGTCTAAATCAATTTACAAAAATGTTTGGCCCACCAAAAGAACATCAGATTTCATAGAGAAATGTTTCTTATATATTTAAACCAATTTCTAATACAGCCATGTCAGAGCTGAAAGGCCATATATAGACTGAGTGTCAATGTTGCGCCAAGGGGCAGTGGTTTGGAGTAGAAATTTAAAGATAAACACAATGTTCTAGATGAAGTCAAAAGACAAGACATTGGCCTGTGGACTTTTTTGGGCCAAAGTTTATAGTGTTTGTTTTTGTGTGTGTGTGTGTGTGTATTTGCAAAGATTTGATGTGGTTAGTGCTAGCACTGGGGGCCTTATTGAATTGTGTATTGTCCATAGACATCTATTGACTTGATTCCATTTGTTGATATACATCTCTGGTTGGTGTTCTAAAGCAATGCTTTGATTCCATACTGCCTCATACATTTACGTATACACGTCTTTGATCTGTTCTTTGTTTTAATGGGCAGAAATGTTGGTCTTGAACTAAAGCAGGGGTTCTCAACCTGTGGGTTGCGACCCCCTAAGGGGTCAATTGACCATTTGCCAGGGGTCGCCTAAGACCATCGAAACTATGGATTGTTATTGCCTATTTTTCTATTGCTATGTATGTGTGTGGGGGGGGGGGGGGTCGCGGCAGAGTGGGGGATTGTAAAAAGGGTCGCCGAATTTAAAAGGTTGAGAACCGCTGAACTAAAGTAACATTTCTTTTGGAAAGTGACAGGGTAGAAGTGTTTCTATTTTTATAGAATTGGGGGGAAAATAAATTCAGCAATTTGATAGTAATATTTTTTTTGGTGTCAGATGTTGATGTACTTTTTTGGTCAGTTTTTTTTTTGTTGATCTTTTGTTCAAGGTCATTGCATTAGTTTCTGTGTTCAGGTCAATGTTAGACCATGACTCCATATGTTGTATAGACAAATTGACCGTGACTCCATGTTTTGAATATATTAATTGACCATGACTCCATGTTTTGTATAGACTAATTGACCATGACTCCATGTTTTAAATGAATTAATTGACCATGACTCCATGTTTTGAGTGGATCAATAGACCATGACTCCATGATTTGAGTGGATTAATTGACCATGACTCCATATGTTGTTTAGACTTATGGATCATGTTTCTGTCTTCTTTAGACTAATTAACTGTGACTCAATGTTTTGAATAGACTAATGGACTGTGACTCCATGTGTTGTATAGGCTAATTGACTGTGACTCCATGTGTTGTATAGACTAATTGACTGTGACTCCATGTGTCGTATAGACTAATTGACAGTGACTCTGTGTATTGTATGGACTAATTGACTGTGACTCAATTATGTTTTAAAGACTGATTTATTTCTTGTACTTCAATTTGTGATATTACAAAACAAAAGATTTATTATCAAAGGGACTTCATTCTTTACACAATTTATACCAAATTATTTATTTTCTGTGACAATTTTTGTTTCCCCTGACAAGATTTTATTCATTTAAATTGTCCTGAAAATTTTTACAAAACCATTGAATTTTTAAGATAAACTTTGATCAGCTAAAAAGTATTTTGACTAAGGGTTTTAAGTTTTTTTTCACTGGCTGCATTGAATTTTCAATTGTTTATATTTTTACACAAAATTCTCAGAGGTTTGAAGAAACCAGTTAGCTGGTTGATCTGTTGACTTAAACTAATGCATTTGTTTAAAAAGTTAATCATTTGTTACTAATGTAAATATTTACTGTTTATGAATCTCTTCATCAAATTGTATTTTTTTTTTTTGTGTCTAGTCAAATGGCCAATTGTAGAGTCTCTGTTTAATGGGACATATTGTTGAATTTAGGTGAGCCTGGTTCTTTTTGTTTTTATTTAGCTGAAAAGTGTTTGGTTTTGTTTTTTTTGTCAGCGCCAGGTGTTTTTTTTAAAGCAAAATCATTTTCAATATTTTGTATAATTCAAGCTGCACCTTGATTATTCATATGTTAAAATTCTATCAATTAAAACAGAAAATAATGACACAATGTATTATTACCAGAGACATTTGGTATAAATTATAGGCCCTGTGTAGAGCCAAAAACACAGAGAACTCATTTTAGTATCTTAAAAATTCACTTCATTTTGTTAGTTACATTCTGTATGTGTGTATGTATGTTATGCATACAAGTATTCTGTAGAATGCTGTATATAGCACTGGCCTATGTAGTTGACTGTATTCTCTAAGTAATCCAGTACATGTGTACACACATTTTGTTGTAAGTATTATTTCATTAGTTGATATTTTATTTTTTTTTCAGTATAGCAGAATCTCACTGACCTATGTGAAATATTTACAAATTTAGTAATTATTTAAAAAACCGGATCCTAGCATGCATCCATCTGAATGTATCAACTAAGTGGATTTCAACTAGATTCAAATTTAATGAGGAAAAAAAATCAATTAGGCTTGTTTCTTATACATAATAGATCTTTTTTTTTTTTTATTAACTGACAATAATAAGAAGAGAACTAAAGGGACATGACTAAAGGGAAAGTCATTTGATGTTTAGTTTTTTATTTAAAAGGTAGTGCCAACTATCTGACTCCATCTGCTAAGTGTCCAACATTTGTTTTGTTGAATTTTTGTTTTAGAATTTCACATTTTTTATTGAACTAATTGTTGTCAAACTTTTCTTTGAAATCTGCCATGACCATTAGCTGCCAAATGATTGTAGCCATTGGATAGATTGGTAGCTACAGATAGAACTTGTTTTGTTTACTTTGGCCAGCATAAGTTGTCTTTCCTTCTGCATTTATATTGATTTTGACTATCAATACTACTAGATCTACATTAAAACAATAAGCTACTGGTTTTATTGAACCAGGGTCTAGAACTTCAAATTAGGAGCAAATAATTATTTGCTGTAACACAAATAGTTGGACATATTTTTGGTAAGAAAAAAACATTTGACTCTTAAACTCATTTCAGATTTGTCCAACTAGATGCAGCCCTGTAATTTATTGTTGCTAGTGATGTAGACAAAAGTTTAGGCTAGTGAAACTCTTGTCCAACACTATCAAGTCTGTTACTCTACATGACATTGACATTCTTTGACTTGCAGCCCTCCATCCAAAACATTTTCTCCTGTATATGAAAAACTTGTTTGTCTTCTATGTCCACAACCAACACATTTGTGTCTAGAGAATCAATGTTTTCATCCATCAGTCTTAGCACATGACTGAAGCTCAGAAGTAGTTATCAATGTTAAGACTTTGAAGTCACCATCGCAACAGTTACTATAGTGATCTACACCTGAAATAAGTTGACACCTACCCCACCCCCTCACTTTAGTCAGCAAACAAATTGTCTGTTTCAAGTATCCGCCATGTTTGTTTGTGCTGTCAGGTCTGCTGGGACTTTCTCAGCTGGAGCTTGTATCATTTTATAGTCATTCCAAAATATTTAGGCAATCATGATTGATAGTTTTCCTCGTATTTTATTCATGATTGTTTATAGAATTTAGTTTAAATGTGTTTATACTATTTATGTGTGCTATTATAATTGAAACAAATAATTAAACACAACAAATGTCTTCATTTGGTTGTCAGTGAGTCAACTTTTTCCTGTCTAATAGCAAGATCAAGACCTAGACCAAATATTGTTTCATTGTTATTATGAACAAAAGAATAAAAAAAATATTTTACTTTTTAAGATTGGCTCCTTTTTTTTTTTTCAATGTCAGTTAAACAAAAAAATATTAGAGGTATTATTTGGAATTCAAAGACAAAACTTCTAAGATGGAATTTCCAATCGCACCTTAAGCCACAAAAGTTTTGAGAACCATACTGTAGCTAGCATCTAATACCTCTGTCTATACAAGTCCCTTGCTGTGTGATCAATTTTGTTTCTTCTGAATTATTGAATCAACAAAAAAACACAAAATTATTTGAAATGCTCAAAACTAAATAAATGAAGGAAAACTTGTCAAGTTGGTGAGAGATTTATTTGGTCCTGTAATTACAACAAAACAATAGATGGCATCACAAATTAATGACAGCAGTTAATATTTGTTGAAAGTGGCCAAGAGGGAAACATCAAGTTCACTAACAAAGTCACACACAGAGTTCATGGCTGCCATCTGCTAAAAACTCAAGTCCATCATCTGTGTGTCTAAGTAAAATGTCACTTGACTATATACAAAACAGTGTAGGCTTTTAAAAAAAATGGCTGCCCAATAGATTTAGGTTTTGTATAGACTACATTATGCATAAAAATAAAATATGGTAGACATCCATCATACACATATATAGAGTGAGTATATATCACACATGCATAGAGTGTCAGATCCAATCTTAATGTTAGATCTGAAAACAAAGGTAAAGACCAAGGTTACTCAAGAAAACAGGTTTACTAATATATACACACAAACTAATATTTACACACATATTCAGCAGACATGATTTTTAAGGCTCGTTTATCAATCTGATCAATATCTACACCAGAAGAAGCAAACTATACAACACACTAATATAAACAGTTTGACTTTCTTACAGCTTGGAAACACCTAGGTACCAGGAATGTGAAAGGCAATCAACATTTTGTTTTGAAGGCTAAGGTAGAAGATTATTAGGAAAAGTTCATTCAAGTCAATTACAGTAAAGACTTCAAAATAACATTTGATTCCTAGTCCCGTCAACTAACTGCTGTCAACAGACCTTAAGTGACTAACTGTTTTCAACAGAACTTAAGTGACTACTAAGTGTTGAGTTTTTGTTTTTGTCAACTCAAAAGTACAGATTTTTTTGTCCTTTCAACGCAACAGAAAGATTGACTTCTCCGTTTGGATGTGCACAATGTTGAGTTACGAACTTGGTCATTGCAATCTAATAGAAATCAGATTAATTTTTATTTACTAACTCACTTTTTGTTTTGAATCACTCACATTTCAATTAATGAAAATGTACAACTCCAGCTTATATAAAAATATGTATCTACTTTCAACTCACTCACACACAGACTAAGTGCAGTCATCTAATTATTCAATGTTTCTGTCCCAGGAGCTGATGACTTCACTAAAACAACAAACTTTGTCCATGAGTTTCTTTATGAAATTGAGAAAGAAAATAAAAGCACCAGACAAATAATATCAATTACAATTTGGTCTGATTGTCTTTTTTTTTTTTTGGCCCCTTGCAAGAAAAATCCTGGCAGAAGAATTTTTATTTTTTCCCAAGCTGTCGTCCATAAAATTTACGATTCAGAAGGAAAATGAGAAGATTGACATTAATTTTTGCTTTGTTGAACATTTTCATGACAGCGACACCTTCATACTGGAGTTGAAGTAGATCCTGAGGGAGAGAGTTAATGGGAGAGTGGTCAAAGGTCATGCTAGTTATCAAAACAAAAAAAAAACAAATGTATAATAAATATTTCTCAAGTTTATTCAGGGATAATGGTACACTGGTCATCTTATTTACCTGAAATACTAACTCCACTTTGTCCATATTGACTCCCATAAACTTAGCATTCACATCAAACACACCCGGATCATCAGTTGAGCTGATCTCAAACATCACGTTCTTAAACCTGGAGACAAAACAGTTTTTATAGAAGACAAAACAGTTTTTATAGAAAACAAAACAAAAATCAACAGAGATGCACCAGATGCACTAGAAACATTTAACTTACTGGTTCTGGGGCAGACCTTCAATTTCCAAAACAACTTTCTTTTCATAAAGACGAGCTGCTGTGTAGGTCACAGATCCTTTACGTTTATCATCTCGACGGAACAAACCAGACTTACGGTTTTTCCTGAAGAGAATGAAAACATTACAAGACAATGTCAAAAGAAAGATCTATAACTCTAGAAAGATTTCATACCAAGGCTTGACCACAACTATACGTTATTGTTCAGATCTACTGTTACCCTAATACACACACATGGTCTTACAAGTCTAAGTCTAACATGTCCAATTAAATTAGACTCACTTTGATTTACTCTGGAGATTGTCCAAACAAG